TCGCATGCGATATTTAACGCGCATCTTGTCAGAAAGCCGGTTCTGTAATCAGCGGTAAATCTCCATCACCTGCGTGCTTCCACATTGAGCAGCATCAACTACACAGAGCCGTTGTTCACTGATGAGCTGCGCAAAAAATCGCGCGAATTAATCGAATTAATCGAAAAATCGCATGCGATTAATCGTGCAGCCCTAATATATATATATATATATATATTAAAACAAGATAAGAAATATTAATTGTTTAATGTTATAAAATATTTTTAAATACTGTATATCACTGTTAAATACAAAGAAATCATTATTTAAGAAAAATAATATAATTATAATAATTGTATTTTACAGTACAACAGTAAAATTACAATACTAATATTTATGGCTTTGTCTTTTATTTTGGCCAAAAAGCAAAATCACACAAAACATCTATTGAAATGAATAGAATTCACCCGTGAAATTTCTCCAAGCAATGATAAACCTGACTTAAGTCACATCATGATTTTGTTTTTAATTCTGATTAATCATGCAGCCCCTAATCCTCTTAGATCTTTTAAATCCACTGTTATAGGAAATATTCTTATGAAAAATGCTGTTTTGCATTTCACACTCTGGTGAAAATGACTCCCACTGAAAAAGATTAGAGAGTTGAGGGTTTATGCTGGTTTGTTATGGATTTTGTGCCAGGTTGAATCTATTTAATAGTTCATAGCAGAAATTAGCATTCTCACTGCGTTGCAATATTATAGAAAAACAATATTATTATCTGTACATCTTTAGCTTTATGTTAGTAATCCTTCAGTATCAAACTGCAGTTTCAGACATTATAGAGAGGATAAAAAGCACTCAAGGCAATCAAAGCACCAGTTTCCTCATTTTGTTTGTTTAATGCACTATAGCATTTAGATAATCAGCCATGATTTCATTGCTCTGACAACATTAGCCTAGGAGTTTGTGTTTGCAAATGTTAATCATATACATGAGTCTAGGGCTAAAGAGAAATCCCAGATGAATAATGTGTCACAGAAACTTTCATCTGCCTGTTTTTATTATACCAGCAGTGCCAGTTAAAGGCTGAGGGGATTCGCTGGCTACATAATAAATATACAAATGTCTATAGGTCAAGAGTCTAAAACAGTGACAGCATCAGTCCTGACTGAGAGTTTGCTTCTTTCCAGAGTTTTTTTTGTCTCTCTCTCTCTTCATGAGTTGGCTGGGAAGCTCTCCACACATTTTGCAGAGCCTAGTGTGCATTAACTGCTAGGACTGCCCTAGAACACCATTACAGTTCAATTCAAAGCGATAATGGACAAGCACTCCAGTGCAAGACTATATAGACAGGCTTATAATCG